CGGCTGCTTCCGGCTTCCTCCACGGCCCGGGCCCCCGCCCAAGCCCGGCCCGGGGCCGCCCCGCGGATCCAAGCCCGTCCCCGGCTCGCACAGCCCCGCCCCCGACGGTTCGGAACTCCGTCCCCGGTTCGCACCCAGCTCCGCCCCGCCGGTCCAGAACTCCGTCCCCGACTCGCAGAGCCCCACCCTGCAGGCATTAAGCCCGCCCCGACTGGGTCTGATCCACTCAAACCCAGCCCACGCTGAGCCCGAGAGCCTAGCCCTGCCACGCAGAGCCCCGCCTTGCCGGCCCCGAACTCGGTGCCTGGCTCGCAGAGCCCCCCCCTGCAGGCATTAAGCCCGTCCCGACTGGGTCTGATCCACTCAAAACCCGGTCGATGCTGACCCGGAGGCTACCCTTGCCACGCAGAGCCCCGCCCCCGCCGGTCCATAACTCCGCCCCCGCTCGCAGAACCCCACCCTGCAGGCACTAAGCCCGCCCTTTCTGGTCCTGATCCTCTCCACTCGAAGCCCCGCCCATGATGGTCCCGAGCTACTCCTGCCACGCCGGATCCCGCCCCTGTCGGTCCAGACCCCCGCCCCCAGCTTGCAGAGTCTCGTTAGATTCCCGTCACTCAGAGCCCCGTCCACGCTGTTCCCGATCCCGCCCTGTCCTCTCGGAGCCCCGCCCCCGAAGCTCCAGAACTCCGCCCCTGCTTGCAGAACCCCGTCCCTGCTGGTCCTGAACCCCGTCATTCAGAGCCCCGCCAACATTGTTCCCGATCCCGCCTTGTTCACTCGGAGCCCCGCCCCCGAAGCGCCAGAACTCCGCCCCAGGTTGCAGAACCCCGCCCCTATTGGTCCTAATTCCCGTCACTCAGAGTCCCGTCCACGCCAATCCCAATCCCGCCCGAAGGCTCGGAGCCCCGCCCCTTGAAGCTCCAGAACTCCGCCCCTAGTTCGCAGAGTCCCGCCTTGCAGGCTTGAAGCCCGCCCCTACAGGTCTGATCCTTGCCACTCAAAGCCCCGCCCCTGTCGGGCCATAACTCCGCCCCCAGCTTGCAGAACCCTATTCCTATTGGTTCTGATCCCCGTCACTCAGGGTCCCGTCCACGCTGTTCCCGATCCCGCCCCGCCGCTCGGAGCCTTGCCCCAGAAGATCCAGAACTCCCCCGGCAGCTCGCAGAGTCCCGCTCTCCGCCCAAAGGTCCCGCCCGGCACACCCATGCTCGCCCAGAGTAGGCCTGACCCTGAGTCCCGGGCCCTCGTCCTTGGTCCTGAGTCCTCCGGATAAACCCTGGACCCGCCCTTCGGTTTGTGGGCTGGGACCTCGGCTCTGTCCAGACGTCCAGCCCAGACGCTCCCACGGACGGCTCAGGACGCAGAATGCGCGGCTCGGGGGTCTGCCGGGCGAAGGCCCAGCACTCCTGGTCTGGCTGCCAGGAAACCTGCCCGATTTTGGAGTTGGAGAAAGTGAGGAGAGGGACGGACGGGGAAAGTTACAATCTGCGGGGGACCAAGGGACACCCACTTATCAGCCAGCATTACGTCCCCTGAGCCCCCGTGTGCGTGCGTGTGCCTGGCTGTGTTTACGGGGTCCTGACATGGGAGGGGTGTGAGGGCATCAGAAAACGGGCCCCTAGGAGACGCCCTGGTTAAGAACTTGAATAGCAACGTTAACAATAAAACTCGCGTGATCCGCCTCACACCCCCCCCCCCCCCCCCC